GAAAAGATTCACATCTACATTTCTTTAAAGATTTCGTTTCAGAAACCCAATGGAAGGTTGCTATGAGTTGATGAAATCACTTCAGTGACAGAGGGTGTGGTTTAGGATTTTTATTTTATAGTTTTTATTATAAGCTGTATTGTTGATGCCAATTCATGGCTGACTCTCCAGAAAACTATGAATTGCATGGGAAGAGATTGCTCATCTTTTTTTCTTGGAATAAATGATGGATTCAAACCACCTGCCTTTGAGTTGACAACATAACTCTTTACTCATGAGGCCAGTAGAGCTCTCTATTAGCCCTACCAGTTCCCCTCTGTATATATCTTTTTATGCTTGCTAGAGATAAAAATCTTCCTCTGTGTTGGGGGAAAAATGATTCTGAGCTGGTGCTCATTTTCCTCCAATTTAATCTTATCTGTCCAAAATTTCCAGTTACGACCCTCTTTGATGAATTCTTTGATAATCTCCCATTGACCTCTCAAGTCCTGTCCCCCTCTTCACCAGCCTCATTGTACTTGTTGCCTGCATCACAGGTATTTGCGGACATATCTCCCTACATCGTCAGTGACTGATATAGACTTGGAACACAAGAGTGGTTCCTTTTGTTAGCTCTGTTTCTCTTGTCTACGTTTTCTTTAGTTACTATACCTAAATATACCGGTTATATTTCTGATTCTGGCACTGTTTCTGCTACACATATGTAGGAGATCTACAAGAATGCAGAGACCTGGAGCAGGGCACAAGAAACTAATCAAGCTGCCTGATCTAATTCTGCACCATCCACCACTTCTGGGACTTTTAAATATAAATTACAAGTAGCCCCATCCTATGCAGTTAATAAAGAGGGAGAGAGAGAGGCTTATGTGAATTATCTGTGCTTGCTTTTGTATGAATCTGGGTGGGAGAACATAGAGGAATCTTTCTTTCTGAAGAGTTTAAATTCTTGGAAATCAAAGTTCTTCCTTATTGTATATTTGTCTTTATTCTCAGAATATCCCAAGGTCTTGTTGTTATGTGCTGTCGAGTTGAATGTGCCTCATAATGACCCTAGGAAGGACACACCTGAACCTTGTCCTAGTTGTGCCAACCTCATCTTCTTTGAACATACTATAATCAGTTTCTTTCAGGGAATGGAAGAAGGTTACCACAGCCTGCCTCTGTGAGCATTGCGCTTGTTGCTATTACTGGTCAGCACCATGGACAAGGCTCAAGAAGGCTCTCTATTTCTGATGGCTGGTGAAACTGAGCATACAACACTAAACCAGCCAGAAAAAGTGAGAGAGTAGAATCTTCCCACTTGGGAATTCTAGTCTTTGTATCATAAATTGGACCCTCTAGTTGCCTAAGAGGCTTAACAGAAAGTGTTCTCTTTTGGAGAAAAGACCTCATGTACAAACCAGGTTGACACTTGTCCACTAATTACCTCCCACTGGAATTTAACTCATTTTAGAATTCCACTCAAGCCTCTTAGATTTCAGTGGGGGTCTGTATTGTCTTTTTATTACATATAGGCTTCCTCAAATCAATATGCCTATATAAAACTGTGAAGAAAGCTATGCTATTTTTTCTTACTTTGATTCCTTTTTTTAGTATACACATTTCATATTCTGCCTTTAAAGCTATTTCTGCTGCACAGCTGCTTTACTGAGACTCAGACTCCTACGGGCCTGCTCGGTCCAACATGCACCTTGAATATCCTTTCACAGTGTTTGATTTCTGCAGCCGGTTGTGTAATGAGGAAGGAGTGTGCAGAGAGTTTGGAGATTCCTATTAACCAGGTCACCCATGAATCTATTTTTGTGCACTTCTTTATTAGGAATAGAAGGGAACACGATAATATTTAAACACAGCCACTTATAGGAGCTTGCTTTAAAAATTCACCTTAGTAAGTTTTCTTATATGACATTTCAAAATGTTGTACTACATTTCCCCATCATCAAAACACCTCTTCTGCTTCATTTGCATTCTGGGATGTGAATACAGACCATTAGAAATGACAATCAATAGTGGGAGAGTGAAATCAGACTTTTGATTTTCTGCTCTTGTTAAACCTTAACTGGAATGCTCTATTCCGTTCTAGGCACTGCTTTTGAAGCTGGGCTGTGTTGAAATAGATACACATCAAGACAGTAAAGCAAAGTTGTTAGGGTCTGTAAAGTCAGAAAAGGCTCATAGCTGACCCTCTAGGTTTTCAGAGTCTGTAAACTGCATGAGAAGAAACTGTCCAACTTTCTTCCTCTGTGAAGGTAGTCCATTCTAATCCTGTGTCTTTGGGTTGACAACACAACCCCTTACTACTAGGCCACCAAAGCTCAAAGCAGAGTAGGGATAGAATTAGATAGATGAGAACTATCTTTAATTGGTATGCCTGGATGAGACAAATGGTTAATAATTCATCTCAACTCCTCACTGTAGGGTTGACAACTCGAATTCACCCAGAGGTGCCTTAGTAGAAATAGCTGGTAGTTTGCTTCTGAAAGTTCACAGACATTTAAAAAACCCACTGAATGTAATTCTACTCTAACACACATGGAAAAGTAATTGGTTGGTCTTCTGATTTAAATCTTCAAACACTTTAAGGAAGATAATTCATGAAAAAAAGAGAACTAAAATTGGTCTGTGTTGTTTCCAAATCCAGACTCAATATAAAAAAAGCCAAAGGGGGGAAAAATTAGGATTCAAAAGAAGGAAAAACTTATGACTAGACTTACAGGACTCTATGGAGCTGGTTACTGTGTGAGGTCATGAGCCCCGGGCACTGTGGATATTACACTCCACGCTGGCAAAGCCATCTGCCAGGAAAGCTGGGGAAATATTCCTCCAGAAATAACAGGCCCACCTCTGCTGTGAGAATTGGTAGTCACTAGGATCTGGCATAGCTGCTGGTTACTCAGGGCATTGTAAAACCAGAGGTACTGTTGTCTCTTAGCGGTGTAAACTGTGAATCCTTTTGTATGGCTGAATAAAAAGACTCTGAATGGACCATTCTAGGCAAGACCAAAATCAGAAAGGGGATTTGGAGTTGTTGGGCAAGCAGCCTATTTTTTCAGTCAGAGACTTTACTTATGTGGCCCAGTTATTGAGATGGTTTCAGAAATCATGTAAAATGAATCATAATCCTTCATTTTGTGATGTTGCTCAATACTTGCTTTTATAGCAACCCATTACCTTTCTTTGTTATACTATTACCTATCTGTCACCTTCATCAGGATGCCATAAATATATGACCAAGAATCCCTTTCAAATAAAGAGAATGTTACAGTTCATATAACGCTTTCTCATGTAACTGTCTTTTTTATATTGAATAAAACTCTGTAAGGGGTTGTGGGAGAGATTATTAACTCAAGTTTTATAAAGAGTAATCTGAGACTTAGAGGGCTGAGTGACTTTTCTAAGATCACTTGCCCAGCAAGTAGGATTAGATCAGGAAAGGAGGCAGTGTATGGAAACTGGAATCAGACTCTAGCCATGCTCATAATCAACAATTTGACTTCAAACACGTTTATATGTAAACTTAAGACTGAAGGAAGATGAATACCAAGGTTCACACTGGAGTTGTTTATTCACATGAGAAAGAATTATATGAGTTGTAAAATGCTCTCTATTTGAAAAGGATTCTTCATCAAGGATTTATGGCATCCTGACGAAGGTGACAGATAGGTAATATTATAACAAAGAAAAGGTAAGGCATTGCTATAAAATCATGCTGTCTGTTCCCATCCCAGTTGTATCAAATCCACATGGAGCCCAACAGGCAGGAGGTTGGAATTGAGAAGAGCATGTGGGTTGGGTGAAAGGACACAGTCTATCCTAGTGTGTTTCTAGGACGGTAACATTATACTTCAACTGCTATCAGACCTGTTTGTGATATATCACTTTCACAGGCTCAGGACCCTGGCTGCATTTTGATGCAGGCTTTGCAATTTGAGGAGATGTTTATTTACGTTTGTGGCTCAAGTGGAGTAGTGGAGGCAACCTTTGTGAATTTCACCAACCTTAAAAATAGAAGAAACAACACTAAATGGCAAGGTTGCCTCACATCACAGGCTATCAGGCTGCGAGGAGCATTGTAGTTTAGTCTCATTTTATTTCTAAGACCTGCAGTATAGTTTTTGAACTCCAAATCAATTTGTTTGCTTCACTACAAATGTAATATATGTTCGTTGTAGGAAACTTTAAAGAATAGGGGAAATTACAGAAGCAATCACTTAACGAAATTACAAATGTAATCTTCCAGAGATAACTAGTATTACAATTATGTTAACTTTTTATAATGTTTCTGACATAAATACACAGATTTTAAACAGATCTAGCAAAATGCAGTTCAGCTGATTTGTAGACTCTTTTATAGTTAGCGATAAACTATTTCTTACATCATGTAACATTCTCCTGAAAGTAATCCGGTTTGAGTTTGGGACCTGCATAGTACTTCCATCTGTTGTTGGATCAAAATTTGTTAAGCCAATATCTTATTTTGGAGTATGTAGGGTGCTTGTATTTTTTAAAAAAACAAAATTAATACATGGTATACTTTCACATAAATCTTTTGCAAAGCTATGGATAAATATGGCTTATTTAAGCAGAAACACCAAAACTACATTTCTATTTTTTTAAGGTGCTAGAAACTCTATTGAGTATTTATGAAAAAAATGGAAAATACACATTAGTTTTATAGTTGCCTTATATGCCAACACTAGAAGCTTTGGTGGTCCAGTAGTAAGAAGCTGAACTGCCAACTCAAAGGTACACAGTTTGAATCTACTTGCCGCTTTACAGGGAAAAAGATGGGCAATCTTCTTCAAGAGACTTACTGATTTTGGAAACCCACTGGATGGTCAGATATGATAGTATACAATCACCACAATAACAAGGATTTAGAGAGATCCCCACCACTGTCACCATTATCAGACACTGTCATTATATTGTTGATGTCTTACATAAATATTAAAGCAGTGGACTCACTCCTTTTTATTCCCCTCTTGATTCTTTTTAGCCTGATGAAGTCCTCCGATATTGATCAGGATTTATTTACAGACAGTTACTGCAAGGTGTGCAGTGCTCAGCTGATATCCGAATCACAGCGTGTGGCCCATTATGAGGTAAGGATAACTTTTTACACTGTTTTTAAATGGAAGAAAAGGTAGTATGTGTCTTGATTGTAGTACTCTAGAACTTGCCCTTCTGGATTTGAGTCAGGTTTTACAAACTGCAAGATTTGATGCTCTACTGTCTGAGACCAGACCGGAACACATGCAGATGTGTAGGAGAGGGCTTCTTTCTCTGGCTCTGGCTATTTGCAGAATATTTTTATCTTTGTGTCTCAGCCCCTAAAGGCTCAGTGGCTTTCTCTACTTGCTAAATCTGTCATTGCTTATCCTTGAGTTTCTCTTGCAGGATGTAGGGTAGAAAGCATTAGTGTCAGCTCCGTTTTCTTGCTGTGACCCTGAGGAAAGGCTCAGAGGCCCTTTGTTAATCCCTGTAGAGAAACACAGCAATGTGGGTGACTCAGCAGCCACGAGTCCACTCCAGTCCTTCAAATTTCTTCTGCCTCATTGCTGATATGCCCTAAATGTGTTTATCAGAATCATAGTAAAGTTTGAAGCCCAGATAGTCTGGAAGGACATAAATCAGTGACTTTAGCTGTTTGGGATAAATGACTTTTAGTTTTCTATTGGGAATTCAGCTAGTTCAATCTATGGATTGGTTCTTTGAATCCACCCACTGGCTTTATGAAAGAAAAGATCTGACTACCTGCTTCTGTAAAGATTGTAGCTCAGGGTACAAGTCTATCTGTGACATAAGAGGTTGTTAGGAATCAGAATTGACTTGACAGTGATTCTGTGTGTGTGTGTGTGTGTGTGTGTGTGTGTGTGTGGCTTGTTTGCTTTAAATGGTAAGCAAAGGATTAGAGAAGACATACTTGCATCTGAGGAGGGCACATGATGCCCCACCTGCAGGAAATGGAGGACAGGGCTGCCAAGGTCCTGAGGCTTCCCAGGGCATGTTCTGATTTCTAGAAAATATGTACCAGTGGGAACATGAATTTTCAAGTGCAATAACTTGTAAGTAATTCTGGGTTGAAGGGCTTAGCCAGCAATTTTCTTTTGTCTAACAAATCTGACAAATGCCAGTTGTCACTGTCACTCACCAAATTCCTCCGAGCTTCAGATTGCTCAGTGCACAATGAAAATAATAATAATAACATGCACATATCTGCACACAAACACCATCACACTGACCCCGCATGCTCCTTGGGGTCTTGTGATGATTAGATGTGGTCTTTTGAAATAGTGTTTGCGAGAGCGCTTTGGAAACTGAAGTATGCAAGACATGCAAAATTTTATATTATTCATTATTAACTTTTGGGTAGCAATATTTTGATGCAGGTCAATAAAACTTACCCTTTAGAGAAAACTTGGAAATCAGCATTTATGAAAAAAGTCAATTCTTTTGTCTGTTGGAAGCCAGATGCAAAGAGAAGCAAATATGAATGCAAAAGAAACAAAAATTTAAAAATATCTAGTTATAAACATGTGTAATTTTATTGAAATATCCTCCTGTCCAAGTCTAAGGAAATGAGGGAATGTATTCTTTCTCTGAAATTCTATTGTCTCCTCTAAGGCACTTGTTTTCTTCCTTTATATGGTTCTTCTGCTCATTTTTTTTCTTCAAAAATTATTTTATATTGGTTTGCTTATACATTATGCTTATATATTGGCTTGCTTATTATATTGCTTATACATCATTCAGATTGTTTTACACTATTTTTCATTCACATTGTGTTTTAGACAATGATTTCCATGATTAAGTTTTATAAAGTTAATCATCATTGGACTATGCCCATCATTACCCTGTATTTTCAAGTCCCCACCAGATCTTTCCCATTTTCTTTACCCCCCTCCCTCCACTCATCATATTGTGTAACCCTGTGATTTTGCTCCTACCCATTCTCACTCCTCTGCTCCCCACCCTTCTACCCATAGGTCCCCATATGTTTTATTAGTAATGCTTCTATTTTTACATTAATGGTCTTAAGCAGTATTTGCCCTTATGAGATTGAATTAGTTCACTCATCATAATGCTTCCAGTCTCTCCCAACTTATGTGGTCTCTTTTTAAGTCATTGCTCCTGAGTGCTGAGTACTATTCCATTGTGTGAATTTACCACAATTTCACAATCCATTCAGTTGAGGTGGGGCATATCAGCTGTTTGTTTGTTCTTGTGATGGTAAATAATGCTGCTGTGAACATTAGTGTGCAAATCTCCATTTGCACCTCAGTTCTAATTTCCTTGAGGTACCATCCCTAGTAGTGGAATAGCTGGAATATACAGAGATTCTATGCTCAACTTTTTGAAGAAATGCCAAACTGCTTTCTAGAGTGGTTGTACCATTTTACAATCCTACCGACAGTGTATGAGAGTTCCCAGCTCTCCACATCCTCTCCAACGTTTACTGCTTGCTGCCCTGCTAAACTCTGCCAGTGCTACTGGGGTGAGATGGTATCTCCTTTTGGTTTTGATTTGCATCTCTCTTATTGCCAGTGATTTTGAGCATTTTCATTGACCGTCTGAATGTCTTTCTCTGTGAAAATTCTTTCCATGTCTTTTGCTCGTTATCAGTCTTTTTCTTCTGGTGGCCCAGGAGTGTTCTATAAACTTTTGTTATGAGACCCTTGTCTGAAATTGTATTGCCATTTTTTCCTTTTTCTTCTTCAGTTGAAAGGTTTTCTTTTCACCCTGCTGGAAACAGTTTTTGATGAGCACAGGGATTTAATTTTTAAAAGGTCCCATTCATCAGTTTTCTCTTTTCCAGATTGTACATTTCTGGCTCTTATTTGTCAGCCTCTTTACACCACAGACTAGGTCTTCTAAGCTTGGTCCCACTTTTTCTGTTTTGAACTTTATGGTTTGCGGCTACACACTCAGGTCTCTGATCCACCTTGACTTGATATCTGTGTTTGGTGTAAGATAGATATGGATCCTGTTTCAGCTTCCTACAGGTAGCAGTCCAGTTTTGCCAGCACCATTTGTTGACGAGATTGCCATTTCCCCATTTGGCAGGTTTTATTTCCTTGTTGAATACCAGTTGACCATAGATACATAGGTCCATTCCTGGGTTTTTGATACTGTTCCATTGGTGTATGTGACTGTCATTGTATGAGTACCATGCTGCTTTGATTTTTGTGTAGTAGGTTCTGTTGCCTCTGTCTTCATTTTTTTCTCTCACAAATGCTTTCATTTCTTTGGGATTAAACATTATTGTGGATTCTTGAGAGCAGATATTGCTGTTCACTTGGTCCTCTATTGAACCTGGAACATAATCACACTACAGGTGTTCAGTCATCACTTACTGAGTGGATGAACATCTTTTAAAAAAAAAATCATGATTATACCATCTAGCACTGCTTTGTGTTTACTAGAAAGAAAAAAAAATACAAACCCACAACAAACTAGAAAAGGAAATTGAAGATAATAAGGCATTTTTCAATAACAGATCTAGTTAGTTGTTCAATCAAGGGTTTAGTTCTTTCCAGTTTTCCTGTTAACATACTGTACTCTTGCTGTGGCACATTTTAATTGTTTAGAGAATGTGTTAGTATTTGTTGAATGTAGCATAGATGCGATAGCGAAAATAAAGCAATTACAATAGATCTGCAATTAGCAGTGTTACACATCATCAAAACAACATTAAATGCATTCCCATTAAATGAGGATGGGAACAGCTGAAAGATGTTCCACTCCCTGCCTTCTGGCAGAGGTGGGGCACTTTCTTCAGTGAGGGGAAAAAAAACCACCACAACCACAAACAACCATGCAGTTTTGCTGTAATCTGAGTGGAGCTGGGAATATGGAACCAAATCCATTGCTACTGAGTGATTCCAGCTCATGGTGATCCTGTGTGTGTGTGTAAAGTAGAACTATATTTCATAGGATTGTCAGAGAATTTTTAACCTTTCTAAAGCAGATCATAGTCCATTCTTCCAAAGCACTTACAGAGGAATCTGACCTCCCACTTTTCAGTTAGAAGCTGAGAACTTAGCCATTTGTGTTTCCTAGGGACTGCTACAGGGAGGTCTGGTGGGTTAGTGGTGAGAAGCTGTGCTGTAATCCCAAAGGCATGTAGCTTGAATTCACCAACTGCTCCATGTGTGAGGAATGCGCAGTTTCCTCCCGTATGATTACTGTCTCTGAAAAGCCCCTGGATTGTGGATTGGTTCCTACCTGACAGCTTACCGCACACAGCAGGGGCTGCTATAAGGACACCTTATGGCCTGTTCTGTTCTTCCAGCTTCTGTGAGGACACTAACCCCCTCCTCATATATAAAAGGAGAGCTTCCATAGAGGATTGCTAAGATTATTGAAGAAAGGATATTCTCTGAAAAGGGAAATGATTCAATTCCTAACTGAATGATGCTGTTAAGATTGTAACTCTTATTACAAAGTCAAACAAGTCAGTCATCATTAAGAGCTATAGTGGCCAATGGGCTTATTCAGACCTCAGTAAAAGAGTAAGCATCAGGAGTTTCTGGAATAAGAAGGGCTGGTATCTTTAAGGAATATTTCAGAGGTCAGATTAGCTGACCTAAGCGCCATGGCTTAGGTCATAGGGCTTTGTGCAGCTAACCCAATGCTAATAATCCACCACTAGCTCCATGGGAGGAAGATATGTGATCTTTCTTCATGTGATTTTCAGACTCAGAAGCCTAATGCTACGAGTGGTTTCTGACTCAGTGGTAATGAAAGCAAGAACAAACCTAGCTGGACTGCAGGATTCGTCAGAAAACGGGTTATGCAGCAACTTGTAGAAATAGAGTGACTTCAGAGTATAAAGAGCCTGGAGTCTTGTCTTGGTGGCAAGATGAAGCACTTAGGTGTTTGGAAATGTGACTTTATGATAGGACATTTCTGAATTATAGCCAGGCCACAGTTGCCTGTATTGTTAGGGAATAGAATAGTTTTTTTAAATGACTTTTGCTGTAAGACTGGTGAACTAGTCCTCCGAAGTAAGAAAGAAAAATAGAACAGATGGGTTAATGGCTAATAGCTCTATGCCCCATTTAAAAGGCTGAACCTTTGTAGAGGAGGACAGGAAATGCTA